GTTTTTCTAAAAGGCCTGGGACTGTTCATTAGGAGAGTAGACCTGCAGAAGGATGGGTTGGCTCCTTGATTTGTGCTTGGAAGAAGGATGCCTTCCAACAGGGAGAGATTCTGAAAGTCAGTTCTCTGTAAGAATATTTCAAAAAGTAGACAGATAGCCTTGAAGAAGTGAAAGACTCTTTTGTATTGTATTTTCTCTGGTACTAATCTTTAAGTCTGTTACCAGCAAAAGGCAATGGTTGACTGTCAAAAGCCTCCTTAAAGAAAAGTTAGCTCACTGCAGAAAGCCCTGATGCAAGGGTGATTGCAATTCCTTCAGGAACCTTAGACGGGAAGAATAGTGGTATGGCAGGCTACAAGACAGTAATGACCTACTAGAACTCCTTTTACTCAATACAAGTTTCCTGGTTCAATATCTGGTTTTGGTATTTTTCTCAATCAACTATTGCCATGAGGCTATTATTAATGACCACACAAAGGAACTTGCAGTTTGTTGTGGATAATTCACCTGAGAGAGGCTCCAGTAAGACATACAGATAAGGAAGATTGTTCTACAAAGACTTTTACTTTCAGTTGTCCAAGGTAAAAATGTCAAACTCAAATTTTTTCTATGTAAATCTGTTAAAAATCACTAAAAGTTGAATTCAAATATATTGGTACAAATTAAACTGTTCTAGTTACAAGAATTACGAGAAGAGATGTTTCAGGGATTCTGGCTAAGTCATCAGTTTTTATGACAAAGAGTTGAAAAGTTCTGGATATGGGACATATTATTTATAGTTGAAATTACTTTGATACGTTTCGATTGGTTATTGTCAAAAAGCCACCCCTTCCCAGACTTTTTGTATAAATGAGCATCATAATGGTTGGATTGGAAGGAGTGTGCAGCCTTATTGCCTCCCAGTGTTTTGTGGAATTCATCATGATGTGTTTGCTCCTTCATCACCTTGTTTTTGAAAGACATCCTGACCAAATGAGGCCAGAAAGGGAAATGATGTCATCAGCTTCTACTACATCTTCAATAGCATGTGGGTTGTGAAATTTAGGTCCTTGCTGTCACAATGCTCCTTATTTATTCTTTTTCTTCCCCACCTCATTTCTTTTCTTCCCTCCCTCTGTTTTGCTTTCTGTTTAAGAAGGAGCTGATTCAGCTGGCCAAGGCTAATTCTTTTGCAATATTGCTCTGAGCCAGTGACCTGTGAAAAAACTAAATTCATAGCCTGCTGCTGAAGCAAGTTTGCCAGGTCTCAGAATAACTGATTATACAGTGTGCTGGCCTTTGTCTTTCCAGCACTGAGAGCAGTAAAAATCACCACCAGGAGACAGACGCTTCTCTCACTATCTTTTTTGCTATGGTTTTTTGCATGTGCATCTGTAAGTGTATGTATGGTACTCTGTCTTCAAGGAAACAGGACTGGATTTGAACAGGAGCAGTCAAACTATCTCAATCGACTCATTTTTCTCTTTTACCTTTAAGGGCAGTTAATAGAATCTTTAATATAATGTAAAAAGCTATCAAACAGCTACGTGCTATCAAGAATATTGTTAGAGTTGTTTTTCCCTTCTTCCCCTGCAATGTTTAATAAAAGTCCAAGAAGTTTTTAATGCTGTTTTTGCAATGTGAATAAGCCAGTACTAACTGGACAGGAATCCTTAGATGACACTTAACTGTATGCATGATTTAAATCACAATTTAAATCACTGGCCAGGAAGCCTCGATTTAATCATTGTTTTCTGTAAAAAGTACATTCTTGTTGTTTGATATGCTTTGTTCATTTAACTTCTTGAAACTTTGCACTTTTAGAGAAAGGTAAGGGCTTGGCTGTGTGTACACAAACTTGCAGAGAGACAAAAGGGCTGATGGGTAGGTAATCATGTCTGTTATCTCTCATTTCCATATATTGCTGTTAACAAGGATGTTGTTTCTGGAGACAACAAACTCCCTATGCCTAAGGAATGGTGCTTGTGCCCGAAAGCTTGCAAAGAACAATTTTTCCAACTATTTAGTTGGTCTAATACAGGGGTGGGCAATTATTTTGGGCGGAGGGCCGCTTACTGAGTTTTGGCAAGCTGTTAAGGGCCTCATGGGTAGCCCTGCCCCTTGACAGGTGCCCCGCCCCCTGGTTGCCATCTTGGGACCAGAAGTCCTGCCCCTTAACCCCCTGACCTTTGCCACCAGAAGTCCATCCCCTTGCTCCCAGAAATGCTTCTTTCAGCAAGGGGTTTTTCCATCTCAGAACCAGAAAAATACCAAATTATATTCTAAAAATCAAATATCTACAACATTCATTGATTTGATTTAAAAAAATCTTTTTGTCCTGATTTACATGTGTTTGTGTAGTGTTCATAGAAGTGATCACACAATAGCTTAAAATGAAGTCTTGCTCTTGTAAACTGTGCGGGTGTGGGGGGCTGTGGGTGTGAGTGGGGGGGTTTGTGGGGAAGGATGGGTACGGGGTGAAGGAGCATGTGGGGGGGGGTGTGGATATATAGGGTGTGGGTAGGTATGGGGTTTGGGTCACATGGTGCTGGAGCAGCTGCATGAAGAGAAATCACCCACAGGCAGACACTTCCGGGTGTTGGGAAGGTGGAGGTTGGAGGGGTTTGGGGGCAGGCCCAGGCTGGCCTTTCTCCTGACTCTTGCCGGTGTTTCCTGGGCCCTACTGCCCCTGGCTCCTGTCAGCTTTGACAGGGAGCTTAGAGTAGATAAATATTAATTTTGTAGGTGCCCTGCGGTCCAGATAGAATGGCCTGGTAGGCTAGATCTGGCCTGCAGGCCATATGTTGCCCACCCCGGTCTAATAAAAGATACCATATCTACTCAAAGAACCTGGTCTACCTCTATGATCTCTGGAGACACAAAACCACAGTTTGAGAACTGAGACTAACCATTACAGAGGCACTTAATGGGATCTTCTAAACTGAGCACTGAGTCCCATTGGGTAGAGGGGTTTTCTTTAATCTTTACTAATCTATACAGGAGCCTTAGGGAACCCCGTAAGATTGGGCCCTTAATATAGTCTATGTCCTGTCGTGCCCCATTTATAAAAGTTTTAAAAAGGTTATATAAATATATTGTCTCAAATAGTATATAATGAGAAGTTAAAATCCCTATTCCATGATGATATCTTTGAGCTTTAACATATCTTAAATTAAAACTATATATATGTTTATTTTTAAAAGCATCTTAAAAATAAACATACCATTAAAATATCTAATTTCCATTAAAATACCATTAAAAAATCTAATCAAAATGCAATTTTAAAATATATATATTTTTAAAATCATTGATTTTTATCTACCCTGACTAAAATTCCATTAACATTTTATCTCAGAGTCAGATATCCCCTTTTCATCACAAAATATAAAGCCTGTGACTAATGCCCACCCACCTGTTAACTGAAAGTGGACACCCCATTCTGCACTATGCTCCAACTCATACCTTACTCCTTACACTAACCTCATTGGTTGCATTAAGCTCCCAATGATATCAACAACTGGGAAAAACTGCAGCATGTAGCCTTATGTTCTAATGCAGGGGTGGACAAAATGGTGGATGTGGCCAGCGGCAGACTCTATTTCCCAGCAGCCCCTGCCTGCACTGCTCCCAGCTGGTCTTCATTGAAACCTTGGGAGCATGGGGCTGTGACAGCGTGGGGCTGCAGAATCAGGGTACTTTCACGGCCCTATGCTCCCAGGGTCTCCATGAAGACTGGCTGGGAGTGGTATAGGCAGGGCTCACAGCTGGGTGGGGAGCTGCTCTGGGGCCAGGATCTTGTGGCAGTGACAACATGGGGCCTAGGCAGAGCCTTGATCCAGTCCCTGCACACCCCTGCCTGTAGAACCGCTGCTCATCACAAGGGTGTGCAGGCAGTGAATTGCAGTTCTGCCCTGGCCTCAGCCCCAGCCCCATGCAGTCATGCGGCTGTTATTACTCCAAAATCCTAAGGTCTCCCCAGCCCTGCCTGCCCATCTTGCTCCTGGCTGTGGCCTCATCCCAGCCACCTGGCCACGAATCCTGCTTGTGCAGGTCCCTCCCCCGGTGGGGGGTGGATGGGCTGGGATGCTCAGGTACCTGGGCTAGGTCTGGCAGCAGCAGCCAGAAAGAGACAGTGCCACAAGGACTGCTGGCAAATGGAGTCCATCATAAGCTTGATATGGCTTCTGGGCTGGACTTTGCCCACTCCTGTTCTAACAGCACATTCTTCTTGGGATTGACAATGGAAACTATATGGCAGCAGTGCAGACATGATACTGCTTAAGATATGCTCCAATATGCTCCCTAGGAACCGACAAGCATGTTCTCTCTCTGTCTCTGATACAGCTATATTCTCCTTGCAGGGGTAACAGAACTTCACATCTATAAGATTTCACATGATCTACTTACAGTACAGATATTAACAATCACAACTCTGATAGGCCTGATTCCTCGCCAGCTTGTGTAGTCCATTACGTCTGTGCAAAATGGGTGTGGATTGGAGGCTATCACACACAGAACACTCCACTTATTCAGAATCTTTCAAGTGGTTGCATCTTGCATAGGTTTGTGCATCTTGTACTTCACAAGGTGCAAGAGAGTAGAGAATTAGACCCAATCACCCTTTTTCAAATGGGAAAGAAACAGACTGTGTGTCTTGGCTAAGGCTACAGAGAGTCAGTGGCAAAGCCAGGAGCTGGACTAAAAGAATCCTAAATCCTTAGACTCCAGTTCCCTTCCTTAGAACTGACTGCCTCCAAAGTAAGTTTTTTTTTCTGCAAGTGCGAAAAGTCATTTGCCATTCTATATTCTCCTCAATCTTTTCACTAGTACATCCACATCTTAAAAAACAAATACGTGCATTTTCTGTCACACAGAGTGAATGATTTTTGGTGTGCAAAGTTAAGTACAGAATTTATGAGCAAAATTGTCTGTAAAATTGACCTCGGGTAGTACACCACTGAAATGACCCACTGATAATAGAAAATGTTGTGACTTTTAACACAGTTCAGTTATAGTCCTACCTTGAAGCTGGATGGGCAAGTGCACCGGTAAAACTCCACTGGATCATTATTGCATGTCCCATTGTTCTTACATGGACCAGACAGACAAGGGTTACACTTGGAAACAATATTGATATCTACTGGCCCTGGAAAATGAAAGCAGAAAGTATTATTAGAATATGTGGATTGCAAAAATTATTCTCAGTCTACATACAGGGTCCTATACACAGGTCATCACCACTCTGTGTTTTGTGCCCCTTGTGGCACCTTCTTTGTATTGGTACAAACATAGATGATACTGGTGGAACTTCATTCGATAGCACAGGATCCCCACAGTTTTATGCAAACTTTAAACGCTTGAATTTGCGTCTTGGACTACTCTCTGATGTTTAGAGACTTTTCTAAATAAGTAAGCCCAGGCCTACAAAAACAACCACTCTCAAAAGACCATGCCAGGATTTTTCTGGGTGGTATCTTTTATTGGACCAACTGCATGGTTGGGCTAGACTAAAACAAGCTTTAGAATGCCATGCATGAAGAACAATGGATATTTCATGGACCATCTTAATTACAACATCACTTCGACACTATCAAAAAACATGTTTATTCTTCAGTAATTTCTGCTGCCTCTGTGCTAGAAATTTTGCAAGAGTTGTCCCCCTTGCATAATATTGTGATATTTCTAGTTTGTGGCTGGCTCCAAAATGATGCAGCAGCAAAAAAGAAAAACAGGTAGGAAAATGACACATTTTTGTGGACCTCAAGGAAAGTTCAGTTAGGGGTTATAGAGAAGGCTCATGTTAGAAATATTTTATTATCCTTAATTTTAATAGGGTTGGTGACTGACTTCCTTCTGGTTCTGACTGTAACAAGGGCAATAAACACCAATATTGGAAGTGATTCAGTCCCAGGTAAACATGCAAACCCATATTTAAGCCATTTAATAATCCCCATGCTTGGATATAAACCATTCCGAAGAGCAGGGAGAGGACTGTGTCAGTGCTACCACAGACACTGGAATCTGGAGACTGAAGATAACTGCTCACAGCCCACCAGCTGCCATTGCAGCCACCACTGCGACTCCACTAACTTCTGCTGAGTCATATGCTCCTGTTGGCTGGCCTTCCTGCTCTTTGCAGAGCCGGGATGTTCTACTTAGTTTCTGTCTGGGGAGCAAAAGGGCTGCCTGAATGGGGAAGGGCTGCTGAGGAAGAAGAGTGAGCAGCTGGGTAGTGAAGAGTTATTTGCAGGGAAAGAATACGGATGAGGACAGACCTACTTAATTTGTGATTTTGCAGTAACTGAAAAATCTGCAATTGTCCACGAAATCAACTTAAAAAATTAAATTAAATTAAATTAAATTAAATGCTGGTTCACCCATGGGAGTCAGCCATCCTTGCTGCCTCACAGTCCAACCCAGAGGGGAAGGTGCCAGCTGGTGGGATGGCACAAAGGGCAGCCAGTAGCTAAGATGCCAGCTGTCTTCTCATCCCTCCTCTTCCCTGGGGCTTCTTTCCCAATCAGCACTGAGGGGCAGGGTGGCACAAAGTGCAGCCAGCAGCCAAGGTGGGGGCTGCCCCTTGTCCCTCCTCCCCACCAGGGCTTGTCTGGCAATCAGCAATGAGGGGCAGGAGTGCTGGGAGATGCCTGCAAAAATCAGCTCCTCATGCTGAGACCAAGTCAGGAAAATTCATTTTTCCGCAAATTAAGTAGGTCCCTAAGTATGAGTGAAGGTCATCATGGATACAGAGAAGGGAATGACAGTAAAGGTACATATGAGCATATTCAAATACACGGAGGGAAGAATCAAATTGGCCCTGTTAAGTTTTTTCCAAACATCCTGAGTTATAAACAGGAAACCCAGCACTCAAGACATGCAAGGAAGACAATAAATTGATTTTATTCCATTTCTTTTTAACATCCCTGATTTAACTCCCTATGGCATTAAAAATTACTATGGAAAATGTCAACAAAACTAGAAGCAAACAAATACTTGAAACAAACCCAGATGCTGGCCTCTCCTTCCCCAATCCAGCCCTTCATGTGCCAAGACCTAAAAAACCTCACGGTTTGCTGTGTTAACACAGAATTATCCTGTTTTAAAAACACATCATTATTTACTGACCAGGTCATCTGAAGGGCAAAGCAACTCAGTTTGTCAAGGCTACTGCATTGGAACATTCACAACTGAATGTGCTTTAAGAGCCCCGGGGGTGCTCCACGGTGCCTTGAGATCTTTTCAAAGGTGCCATGGGGTGCCACACAATGTTAGCACTGTGAGGTGTGCAAACATGATTCACAAGATGAACCTAGAGATTTCTAATAGGAATCCATAGTGTTCAAAACATTCTGACAAGCTGTGGTCTTTCTGAGTTTTTGCAACAGAAGAATTTATCTATTTTTTTTTATAGTAAAAAAAAAGTAAAAATTAAGAGTTGGCATTTTCTGAGGGGTATCTGTATCTAACAAGGGGTGCCTTTGACAACTATTGGTCTATTATGTTTATATGTTGCATGGAGTTAGGTAAGAAATCAATCAATACTAGAGAGTTTTTAATAAAGAAACAAAACAAAGAAAATAAAATTGTATTCTGTAGCTGTTGACTGTTTAATATTACTGACTCAAAGGTTAAACTCAGTACTGGTAAAAGTAAAAGAGAAAAACCCTAATTTAAGCAAGGTACTTAACGCCTTTAATCACTTTATCTCCTGTATAAGAAAAAAAATGCAAGGATTGCACAAATGTACCTTCAAAGCTTAAACAACTTAGGACAGGACAAGTGTGCAGGAAGGGGTGATATGAGGAGTCAGTAGCAAGTCTGTAAAATCTACTGTTCCCATGCTGATATTTTGTCCAAGTTCAATTTTCACAGCTGGGGTATGTATGAGTGAAAAACCATATAGAATATTAGAAAAACGTGGGGCTTTTAATTATTGGACAGACTACTGAGTCACACAAAAGCAGCAGACAAATAATATTACTCAAGAAGGAGGGATTTCTCTTTTTTATCATTGTACATATTAGCATTTCCCAGTAAGGACAGACATTATATCTGTAGCACTATGCACACCCTTGCAGTGTTACATAAAATGGGTGTAGACATGCCCCCCACCTGCAATGCTACAAAAATGGCACAAGTGCTACAAAAAATGTGCTGTCTGAAGCAGGAACTTCTATGTAGCACTGCATTCTCAAGCACCACATATAACAGTTACAGGTTTTGGAAAAACTTTGTACAGTTACATGGAGCACCACAGGTGGTCTTCTATTCCCCCAGCATCCCACAGTGCTCTGCTTTCCCCTGGAAGGTATTACAGTACCGTGTAGAATCCCTAGTTAAGGATCCTATAGCACAATGATTTATACAAATACAAGATTAAAAAAAAGTGCCTCTGTTCTAAAAATCTTAGCATTGAGGAGGCAGGTGTAGGAAAACAATGAGACACCATTGGTTAGCTTGAAATCTCTGAAATCTCAGCATACTAGTGGCCTAAGAATTGTCAAGGTTTTTCATAGGTATCATGGCAAAGAAGAATTTTAAGGAGGCATTAGAAGAAGATTAGGAGGTAGCTTTGCAGATGTTTACAGGAAATTCTCCCAAGCTTGAGGGGTAATGTGGGAAAAAGCACAATAACAGCACTTTGAAGGCAGACAGTGATTTCACAATAGTGTATGAGAGAAGCCAGGTAAGATGAGTGTAGGTTGTAAAGAATTCAGAAAATGACGATAAGTAGCTTGTGTTTGACAGTGGAGGGGATGTACAAAGAGGAATGACAGCATGCAATTCAGCTGAAGGTTTCCCTCACAAGTCACTATTAATATCTGTTATTTAAAAAGTACCAATATGGAACACAGAAATGAACCCATACAAAATCACTGAACAAAAAGTATATATACTAAAGGCTGCTACCCATTTGTAACTCCAACAGTGGAGTAAAATGTGGAGTAAAGTCCTATTACCCTAAAGCAAGGGATGTTTAACTGTACAGAATGTTTAACTGACCTAGCAATATTAAAGAAAAAGGTCCACAAAAGAATTGACCCAGATGACCTTTGGGCCCAAACTCAACAGGAGGGTTGGAGAGGGGTCTGGATAACACTTGATATACACCTGGTGGTTAGAGCACTGGGCTAGGAAGTCAGAAAGGTGCTGATTACAATCTGGGTGTGGGAAGTCTGGAATCTGGGTCTGGTGCTTTCTGGGCAGGTGTCATTGTAACCATTAAACTATTAGAACTGCAACATGTGAAGACCCTCCTCATATTTCCAGGACTTATGTTCAGGTACATGCATATGAAGGTATATAGCTATGTGCTCAGCCAGTGCATAGCTTATTGTTCCTGCTGTAAAGCCATGGGAACTTTCATGGGTAACAGAAGTGAAAACCATTCAAAAGTGGCAAAAATGGGAAAAAGTAATTTGGGTACGTCAAGTGAAACAGAATTTGGCCCTCTGTATTACTTTACTATTTAAAACTATATAAAATTTAACCCTGTGCTACTTTGTTTTGATGCTTCCCTGTTAACATTAACTTCTAGTTAGATACAGCAACCTGCCTAAATTCAACAGAAGAAAATAATTTGGAAGTCTGTTCTTTTGTTCTGTCATTTTATCCCCATTCACTACTTTTTTCTTACTTTATTCTAAAGTATATGAGAGTACCTATTTTGGGACTAGAGGTAGCTCAGGAGAAATGACACTAACAGAGATCTTGTATTATAAGACACAAATCTTGAAGTCTGATTTTATACTTTTTCATAATATAAATTCATGGAGATATATTCAGGTAGAAACCTGAAAACATTCCATTTATCCCTATGGCATTGATCAAAGCCAATCAATGCAGGAGCTAATAAGAACAGTGTTAGCTCTTTGCATTTAACTAGCTTATTACTGTGCCCTTGGGGGTTTGATTTATAAACCATGGTGCAAAATGTTCCCAGTCTAGTGCAGTCCTTTCTAATACTGCAGCTGACAAGAAGGGCAACTTAATAAAAGGTCTGTGTGGGTCTATGTGAATTGTACTTACAAATATATGCTCCCAACCACACCATCTGTAACACATGGACATTTGACTTTTGCTAAAATGCAAGGTTAAAACACAGGTTTGACAGAAGTTATTGTCTGTCTACCCTGAAGTCAGTGG